AGCCCAGAGAGACAATCCCCCCAGAGCCCACAGAGAGCCTCCCCCAGAGCCAACAGAGAGCCTCCCCCAGAGCCACAGAGAGACAGCCTCCCCCAAAGCCCACAGACAGCCTCCCCTCAGAGTCCACAGAGACAGCCTCCCCCAGAGCCCACAGACAGCCTCCCCTCAGAGTCCAGAGACAGCCTCCCCCAGAGCCCACAGAGAGCCTCCCCTCAGAGCCCACAGAGACAGCCTCCCTCCGAGTCCACAAAGAGGGCCTCCCCCAGAGCCAGCGCCCCGAATACAGACCCCTAGCCCCCTGCTCTGTGAGAACAGAAGTCTCTGTTGGTTCAAATCACTGACATGTGGCCCTGGTGTCCGGCAGCACTAGGGCCGTAAGACCAGGGCCGTAAGACGGAGCTGCTCTCATTTGAAAGAAAGGCTGATGTTTTCTCCTCTCACCCTGGCGGGCCCATTGTGTGGTCAAGCGTGGGTTCCCTGGACCCTGCACTGCCGAGTCCATGTCTCTCTTCACCCCCACCCCAACACTGACTTTGCCTTCTGTGCTCTGGTGCCCAGGTGGCCACCTGGCTCTTGTCATGGGCTCTGAATTCTGGGGCACAGCACAGGTGGACCCCCCTCGGGACCCTTGTCCCCTAATCCCCCCCCGTGGACTCCTCTGTCACACCCACAAGGGACAAGGCTACGCTGAAAAGCTAACCCGATGCATCAAGGTTCCCAGCCTCCCTGAGAATGCTCCGGAATCCCTGACCCAACCGGCGCTCCCCAGAGGTGCTCCGGAGGCCCAGCCTCGCCGTGGCGGCACACGGCAGGCTGCCTGCGGCCGGGATGCTCACCCTTGCAGACGAAGCACTTGATGTGGAAATACTTGTTCTGCACACGCAGCACCTCGCCCTTGCACACGTTCCCACAGGTGTCGCACAGGACGGCCGTGCTGGGCGGCTTCTCCACAGCGCCGGGGGCCGCTGGCGGCTGTGACTCTAAGAGAAAAAGAGGCAAGTTAGGGACCTTAACGGTAGCTCCGTGAGACCCACCTGGCCCCCAGAACCGGGCAGTAGTAACTATGTTGTTTCAGCCACAAGACCTGTGGTGGCTTGTTACAGCTGCTGCAACAAACTCAGGCCTCCCTGACAGGCGGGCGGGCGGGCAGGTGGGTGCAGAGAGACCAGGCACCCACCCGCCAACGACAATGCCGTCAGCAATAACCATAGTAATGAGCCATGGCGGCTGCCCCGCACTGCGCTGCCCCTAGGACCCACACGGGGTCACCCCACTCTGAAGCCACCTCTTCTCCTGCGGGGAGCGGGCAGCAATCAAGGGCTGTCTGGGCTTGGAGGTAAGGCTGGTACAGAGCAAGGCGCTGGCATTGTGGCTGCAGACCCCAGACGGCGCCCGCTCACAGCTGGGCACGCCAGGCAGCCCAGGTCCCCAGGGCTGGGCGAGCAGGCCACTGTGCCACCTCGGTCCACATTTGAGGCTAATACAGAGAGTGGGGGGCAGGGGAGGGGGTGTATCTCCTCAAAGCTGTCCTGCTCCCACAGACGAGGAACATCAGGGCCAAGACCCTGTCTGCAGGCGTTTGCATAAGGCTGGACTCGGGCTCGACCCCAGGAAGAGAGAAACACCCAACCATTCCCTGCTGCAGCTGCAAGTTCCGGGGGGACGTGGGCTCAGGGTCACCATGTCCGGGCTGCGACTGCGATGAGACCTAGAACCCCGGCCTTTGCACGTCCTCTACCTGTTGGGCTCACAGCCCCCTCCCGCCGGGATGCTGTGACAATGAGCAAGCACATTGCCCAGCAACCTCCTGGCCAGCACACACTACGTGCTTAGTAAACCACAGCTGGCATTCTTTCCAAACACGCAGCATGCATCACCAGTTTCTGGCTCCTGGCGATCTCTCTGGTTTGGGGAGAGTGTCATTCTGCTTGCAGGACCAGGTCTCCCCACACGATTCTGCTTCGTGGGGCAGCCCCGAGGTCCCTGGGTGGCACAAGTGGTTTGCGCTCAACTACTAATTTCATGGTTGGCAGTTTGAACACACCCAGCAATGCCGCAGAAGAAAGGCCTGGCCATCTGCTTCCGTAAAGATTAACGAAGAAAACGAAACCCACAGCCATGGAGTCGATTCCGACTCGTAGTGCCCTATATCACAGAGCAGAGCTGCCCCATAGGATTTCCAAGGCTGTAAATCTTTGTGGAAGCAGACTGCCACATCTTTCTCCCACAGAGCCGCTGGTGGGTTCGAACTGCCGACATTTCCGTTAGCTGTCGACCGCTTTAACCGCTGCATCACCATAGCTCAATTACAGTCAAGAAAACCCCATGGAGCAGTTCCGTGCTAACACACATGGGGTTGCCGTGAGTTGGAGTCGACTCGAAGGCAACAAGTCTGGTTTGTTTTTTGGGAGGTGGGCAGCCCCAACACCACCTTCGGGGGTTCAGGCCAAGGGGGCCAGTCACGGTGCTACTGCCCTCTTGTGGCGTGAAACAGACACTGCAGCCGTGACTAAGGTGACGAGGACGGGTCTTCGGGCAGGTACAGCTGGAGGCAGATGGTCCCTCCAGCTCACATCTGCACACCTGGCCAATGGCCTCGTAGGCTGGGCGAGCTGTTCTGGTTTGTGGCTGAGGCTTTTCTACCCCCGAGGCTGGATCACTTCTCGCACCCCATATAGGTTCCCCTACCCCACTGCATGGAAGGGCAGGGCAGCAGTGGCAAAACCCTGTCTGCTCCCTCTCCAGTGTTTCGTCCTCTTCCCTGTTCCCATCGCTGGCACTTCCATTTGCTCAGCTCTGTTCTGTAGTGGAGCCCTGGTGGTGCATAGTCCAGTGGTTAAAGTGCTTGGGTGCTAAACGAAAGGTCGGTGGTTTGAAACCACCAGCCGCCCCATGGGAGAAAGATGTGGCAGTCTGCTTCTGTAAAGATTACATACAGCTTGGAAACCCTATCGGGCAGTTCTGCTCTGTCCTATAAGGTCGCTTTGACTCCAATCGACTTGAGGGCAACGGGTTTGGTTTTTGGCACTTTACAGCACAGTGCATGCGAAAGCTGGACAATGAATAAGGAAGACTGAAGAAGAACTGATGCCTTTGAATTATGGTGTTGGTGAAGAATATTGAATATACCATGGACTGCCAGAAGAACGAACAAATCTGTCTTGGAAGAAGT